CAAGTCTTTAGTCGGAGTTCAAGGAATACTCCATTCTGATTATCAAATATTTTCATGTCTTAGTTTGAAAAATAAATAATAAACCTCATGGTTTTATTTTTTCCTTCAAAATGCAATGTAGTGTGTACAAAACAGCTGTTTTTTATTTGAAAATGAATNTAAANAGAAATATATATTCTCTGTATATTTAATATAAATTATCAAATATCCGTTATAAGTGGCTCAGGTTTATTTGAAGTCCTGTTATGGCCGAATCTATTGGCTGGATAGATTTTCAGGGAAGATGAGACAAGGAGCAGGCAGAAAAATGTTGAACTCTGGCTCATTACATTTTCTTGTTCCAGCCAAAAGAATCAAAGTTAGTGTAATGGAGAGGAACTTTGCTCTGCGATAGACATTTCTGGAGGGGGCGAATCGTCCAGGGTGGAAATCCATTCTGTGCAGAGGGAGCCTCTCGGATGATAAAACTCCTCCAGGATGCTCCTGGGCTTTTCCATCACCGAGGCAACATAAATGTAATTTTTAAGATGTTCTCAACTCTAGAAGTCCAATTTGCTCTTCACTTTTTTTTTTTTTTTTTTTTTTTTTGGGGGGGGGGGGGGGGGAAATTCACCTCGCCAGTTTTGAGGAGGTGGGCTTAAAATGAAGCAGGCGATTTCCTGAGGACTTATCGATCCTGATGTCATACGATAAAGCCCAACGTAGAATTTTCTAATATGTTGAATGCATAATCTTGTTCGAGGCCCTCTCGACATGTTTTCCTAGATAACTCTTCGACTTCTCTTGTGGTAATATTTATGTGTGAGCTCTGCGACGGCGTGGGCGGGCCTGAGGCTTCAGCTGAGATTTAGAGCCGCGGTGTGCCTTTAGTCCCCGGTGGTTGGGTAGGTAGTCACCCGGTGAAAACCTGCGCTCTGCTGTGCACATCTCTCTAATAAAGAGAGCGCTGAGGTATGAAAGCCCCGCAATGACAGCAAATGTTGTGAATAAATTGTTGCTCACACGTCTTACTTCATCACTCCCCAACTCACCGTGCCACTGTGGTTCCATAATTTGAAATGACGGGCTCTTGATTACTATTTACAGTGTTGTCAAGGTGAGGGAAAAGGCTCAACATGGTGGGTAAACAGATTCGCTGCCACTTTTCCACCAGATCTGCCGTTGTTGACTTTATGTGCACTTGCTGTTTCTGATCCGCTCCTCGCTTCTTTCTCTTTGTCTTACTCGTCTCTGAAGACGTGGGAGATGTGAGTCGCTTTTGAAACGGCGGCGATAGAAAAGTAGACTGGATCTCACCGACTGAAATTTTCTTTGCATTTTGATTAAACTGATAAGTTAGAAAATCATTCTTGATATCGGCGAACATGTGTGAAGCTTCAGGGTCCTTTCACACCAGCCACGTTAATCCAACTCCAGTTGGTTTGTCTAAAACGTCCGGTTTGTTTGGGGGAAGTGTGAACGTGCGATCAAACTCTTGATGTGGACCAAAAAAAGCGGACTCTGGTCCACATAAACGCCTGTTTCCGTTCGGTTGAAGTGAACTCTGGTGTGGAAGTAAGCGGACCAGAGACCACTCCCAGAGCAGGAAGTGAATTATACCACAGGGCTTTCTGGGTAAATACAATCAAAACAAACATGTGGGTCTAATATTTGCAGGAGAGATGACTGGTCTTTTTTCACCAAAGACAAAAGAGAAATCCTACAACCGCTAAAATCTGATGCCGCTCCATTTTTGTTTACGTTTTGTGGAAAATTAAGTTACTCATACCTTCTGCTGAGGTTTCCGTGTTTTTTACTTCAGTGGTTCTTGATGCAGCGCCTCCACAGACGACAGTAAGCAGGTTTTCAGCACGTCCTTTTTTTTCTTTCCATCCGCAGTGGCTCCAGTGCGCTGTCGTAGTTCTGGTATTTTCACATCACTCAGAAATTACTTGTATTTTTCTGTTTTTTTCTGCAGTGTTAGCCTTTGTTGTCATGCAGAGCTGACAAGCAGTCTACATTAGCCAACCCTGTCAATGTGGCAGTGCAACTTCTTTCCTTTATGCTTTTAGTCGCCATCTAACAATGTGTCATGAGACATTTTTGGCTTTGACAAAAAAAAAAATACTTGGGCTTTTTTAATATTACAAGATGTCATTAAAGACTTAACGGATGCTTCAAAAGTAGTAGTGGAATATAACAAGATGTCTGCAATATGAAGCTTGTTTTTTTCTTTTTTCTTTTTTTTTAAGAGTAAAAATTAAAAAGCAGCTTGCAACTTTTACAGTTCAAGTATTTCTTGGAAGTTTCTGGTTCTAATAGAGCTGCGTTCAGTACCACAAATTTAATCATTGTTCTAAATTTTAAAGTCGTATTTGAATTCAACTTTCATTAGATGTAAGGGATCAAACCGAGGTTACTGAAAGTCAACAGTATCTCTTCTCTGTCCTGCTTTCAGTCTCCTTGGTAACCAGTTGTTATACTGGCCAGTGGGTGATGGTGTTTTCAACTGGTTTCTTTATGAACTTTGGGTTTTAGCTTCCATATGTGCCAAAGCATCATAACATGGTTACCACAGAAGACTCATTTTGAAACACTATTTCTGCAGCCCATTAGTAGGACCAGTTAGCTTTAGAGTCGTCGCCATGGAAATTATCAAAGAAAAATCCTACACTCTGCTGCACATAAGTGTGTTGTGCAGCTATAAATAACACATCCATCTGAAGCTGAGGACAAGTTACATGATTTTTTTTTTTTTTTTTTTTCACTGAATTTTGCCCATAATTCCCAGAAATAAAACGTCTGCACTAACTGGGAAGAGTTGATAGGGCTACTTAGACCACAGATCTGTGATTGTGTAAGCCAGCTTACATCACACACATTCAAACATGATTACTTATATATATATATATATATATATATATAGATGGATAGATATAGGACTTCTGAGATAAGCGGGTAAAGTGAACTGTTTACTGACCCAGTGTCAAATACATGTAGCAAACAGCCCATGAAAAAGAGCAGCAGGTCATTGTCGTAAAGTTTGATGTGTTCAGGTAGAGCAGGGGTGTCCAAAGTTGGTCCTCGAGGGTCGGCATCCTGCATGTTTTAGTTCTCTCCCTAGTGGTTGTAACAACCTCCTCAGCAAGTCAATGTTCTGCTTAGGCCTGTAATGAGCCATCATTTAATGCATGTGTGTAAAACCAGGGAGAGAACATGCAGGATGCTGGCCCTCGAGGACCAACTTTGGACACCCCTGAGGTAGAGCTTTAGTTCTCATCCAAAATCTGCTTAAGCCATTTGTCTTGTGAAACCACTTACATGATTTAAAAAGATGAACCACACACAAGCTTTTAATAATATTTTTCAGGCTACTATAAGTTCCACAGCATTAGAAGATGTTGCTGTGTTCGTCTGTAGTAACTGGGTCAAACGCCGGTGTTCTGTCAGATCAGCATACGCCGTCAGATCGTCATACGCTTAGCACGAACTGACGGCTGTATCTGTCAGACAAGTATACGCTGCCATTACCATATGATTTTATTTAATCAGCAACATAGAGTCATGACATAGATTGTCATTCACTTTGTTATTAACAGCTGTATGACATCCTGACTCAGCGGTTAACTAGTCAGTCATTAAGCAACACGGAGGCGAGTTTCACATGGGCGTGTTTTGTAGTTGACTGCAGCTTTAGCTAGTTTCTGCTTTAAATACACTTTAAATGCACGACAATGCATGTATATCTATCTAGTTATTGAAAACAATTTATTGACTTATTTATGCTGAACTGACAACTCATCTGAAGGTCGGACTTCTTAATGCGCAGGCATGCGTACTCACTGCATGTATGCTATTCTGACAGTGGATGGTGATCTGATAGAACGCGGCGCTATCTTGTGATGATGTAATGAGGGTAAGTCAAAGCGTAAATAAGCTGAATACACAGAAGCAGCAGAAGTTGTGAGCGATTTCATCATAGGTTTGAGCGATTTGTCTCCAGGTTTGGAGGAAAACGATGGATGCAGTGATAAAGAAGAGGGGGCTGGCTCTGATGAAGGACTGCAGCCCTATTTTTTGAGCTGTAGGAGCTCCGAGTTGTTTGTTTCAGAGTAACTGAAGATAAGATTTGCTTCTGCACATTTCACAGCTCTGAGTTCATCCACCATTTCACATATCCGGCACCTTTTGACCTTTAGCTTGAAATGTTTTGGCTCGTTGGTGCCAGTTGATCCAAAGATGTCAGCCCCAGTCAGTGAACTGATGCATGGTCGTACGCTTCTGTTGTTGTGGAGCCCAAGAAGGTCCTACTGGGAAATGTGGCTGCATTTGCAATGCAAGATGTCATTTATCACGTTGATATGAAATTCAGGTTTAAAGGTTTCTTAAGGTAAAATAGCAGAAAGGTTTCATGTGAATGTGTCCTGTTGGAACTAAGTAAAAGGAAATTTGCTTTTTCGTTGCTATTTTAAGAAGAGGGGAAATATATTTCTTTATCTGGCTAGATAAGATCAAGACCAGATAACACTGGATGTTTTTATCATGTTTTATCATTAAACTCCCACCTTTGTTGCCAGGATAATGCATTACACGCAAATATATATATATATATATATATATATATATATATAAAATTAAATAAAGCTCGCAGTTTTGTCTTTCTTGCTGCCTAAATATAATAGTCATTGTTTGCTTTCACTATTTAATTCCTCCTCCTTTGTGATATTTTTATCATTTGTTAGGTTAATACATATATTTCTAATACAAAATATATTAAAACACTCAAACTTTTCTGGATTGCAAGTTTTCTCTGGAGTCCTCAGGCTAATAAAAATGAACCTATGGATTCTATCAACTTCAAACTTGGCACTTTAAAAAAAAAGATTTTTTTCTTTTGACACGAAAAAAGAAATCAGAACAAGTTTCTATGACGGCTTCCGATAATGTGAGCTTATGTTACCCAGCATGTGAAGATGGCATTAAAGTGTAAAATAAGTCAGCGTTTCTCTCCGCTCTTTCAGGTCCCGTAGCCGTGATAAGTGGTGAGGAAGACTCTGCCAGCCCTCTTCATCACGTCAATCACGGGATCATCACGCCGTGTACTCTGGATGCGGGACCCGACGCAGTCGTCATAGGAATGACTCGCATACCTGTGGTGGAAAATCCCCAGTACTTTAGGCATGGACACAACTGCAACAAACCGACCACTCGTAAGTCTGTCCTGTTGACTCTAATCCTCAACTCCAATGAAGCCAAACAGCGCAAAAATAAATATTTCTTCACCTTGAACTATTCGAGCAGATATCTGTACAAGTAAAGGGGACCTAGAAAAGAGTTCTGCATTCTGTATGTGTAAATCTGGTGGAAACATGTCAATAGACCAGACATTTTCATTGAAGCAAGCGATGCTTCTTTGTGGTTGTTCATTCATTTTGAATATTATGTCTTCCGGTTTGTGTTAAATGTTCATTAGAAATTGAAGTTCATTGATCCTTGAGGATGTGTTCTTACACGTTTATGCCATTACCATCATGTTACTTGAAAATGATCTCAAAGGAACAATATTATCGTATATTACAATAACTTCTGGGACAATTTATAATCCAGCAAAATTTATCGAGACATTTGTTATGTGTGGTTTTGATTCATTGAGACTACAACTACACTTTTTAGATTTTCACTTCACTAGTAAGTTCTGTTTTCTATTGGCGTATGAAAGAAAAAAAAATCCAAATTAAACAAATATATATTATAATCATGAAAAGAATTGTGGAAGAATCTCAAGGGGTATGAAGGCGCTGTCCGTTTAAATCTGCTGGTCGTCTTTCCCCAGTCGTCTATCAGCTGTGTGTGTGTTTGCTGTCCTTCCACATGGCCTGGTCCCAAAATGTAAAGGTCAAAAGATGGAGTGACGGAGGGGTGGGGGGTCTGGGAGTTGCTGACCAAGCCACAATCAGTTTAAACAGCATAAATTCTGCTTTCGATGCAAAATGCATCACAGTGTCTCGTTCCGTAGATGTGTTGTTTTGTTGAGGTGACCTGTCTGGATGCCAAATGCTCATCTGAGAGACGCTTGACTCGCACATGTTCACAAACCTTAGCAAGACTAAATTTTACTGTCACATATCAGTTAATTTTGCAAAGTGTGATCATCATCCCAAGCCAGCAAACAAAAAAAACAAACCCCATCAGTTTAGTCTCAGCTGCAGCTGTGTCTGTGCGGCTGTATGGCGTTAGCCTCGGTTGGAGAGGTGCCAGACTCTTTATGCACCTGGGTGAAAACAACCTTCACTGTTCCAGCGACTAGTGTTTATATACTCGCAGCCTCCCCTTCCCCAAATCAGCCACCCTCCACTGGGACTCGTGTTCCAAGTTGGGGAAAAGACAAGACCACTTTAAGGCCTAATTACTCCCAATTAGATTGGCTGCTCAGGAGAATCAGCAGAAAGCAACTGTTCCAGCAGCAAGCCGCAGCCTCACTCCTGCTCCTTCCAATCAAACTGCCTGTATTTTAAGGGTAAAGACTCTCTCCTCCATTCTGATCGCAGCAGGATTCCTCTTTTTCCATGACCTGCCCTGTCCAGATTGGACCTGGCCCTATCTCAAAATGGCCGCACATCACGCTAACAAAAGTTGGCCTCTGGGTGTGTAGCCAATGAGAAGAGAGGAAAACCCATTTAGAGGTGATAAATAAGTGACGGGTCTTATGCATTATGAATTGCATGAATTTTTAATGTCCAGCCGTTGACTGATTTATAACATCTCATGACTCGGACAGGAGATCTGATTGTGGGGCTAATGAATAAATGGCACTGGGTAGGAGTGAAACTTTCCCCCAGTAAATGAGCATGGAGAATTAAAAGTCAGGTCCTGTGTGTTCGGTGCCTTAGCTTTGACCTGGGCCTTCTCTTTTCTTTTTTTTTCTTTTTTACCCTTGGATTTAATTCTACATGCATGCACATAAAAGGAAATCGTAGGAAATGAGCCCTGAATTCATCACAAGGTCATAATGGCCACTGCTTTCTGCCACTGGCTAAGAAAACATCATTCACTGAATACGAATGCCTTCTTCACCCTCAGGACATGCACACAAGGAAGGGAAGTTTCTCTGTGTATCCATGTGTAAATGTGTGCTGTGTGGGTGTACTGCTGAAAATCTATACAAGGATGGAGGCGTGCTGTCTGTGTGCCTTGTAGGTATAAAAATAAGAGGAAAAATGATCTAATGTCACCTTATATTCCTTCACTGCGTCTATGATTTGATGTGTCAGGAGTCTCTTTGGTGTCCTTTGGTTCTCATTGTCCTGCTGGCCTTGCTCAGCACCACTCGCTTGGATACAGTATGTCGACTAATACATAATGTATTCATTAATTTACTTGAAAGCTTCTTATCCGAGAGAATAGCATGCTGCTAAAATATACACACAAGCGCAGTGGGAGTTCAGGTCGTACAGCTGTGACGCCTGTCTTTACCCGAGTCCATCAGGACTTCGCTAATGCGATGGTGAGACTCTTGTTGCACTCTGAGCATTTAAGAGATCATCTCCTGGAATAGCAATGAAGAGGTAAAATGCTGCTGCTGCTGCCATCCCCTTTCAACATAAGAGGTCAGTACTTTGGTCATCTGAAATGAGCCGTTATCACCAGGCATTGTGTGGTGGTAGGCTGCCTGAGACTTGACTTGGACCAGTGGTTTAACGTCTCAAGGCTTATACACTTGTGGGCTAAAGACTCGTATCAAGTTTAGTTCAGAAAAGAACTAAACTTGATACGAGTCTCTAGCCCATTTTGTGTTTGACGGTTGCTGTTTTGTTTTTTTTGGCCCATACCTCGGACATCAAGTGGGTGACACTAGATGTCCGAGGTATGGGAGGAAGCTCAAATGACTGGAGTTGGCATAGTTACAAATATTTTCACCAGATATTGGACATAACATAAAACCTGTTGGATGAAAGTCCTCAAAGACTGAACTTGCGTATCTCTGGTCTGAAGACTCGAGACTTGACTTTGATATGTGGTCTAAAAACTGAAGGTTTGAGTCGGACCTTTGGCTGAGGGACTAAAAACCAAACATATCCTGATGGTTTTACCAAACAACACTTGATTTAGACTTGAGGGGTTGTTTTGAAAGGAAACTTGTATGTAGGCCAAAGGCCACAGCCCTGCATTTGAGTTATTATCCAGTGATACTTAAGGATTGTGGGTTATCAATTGGTCATAGCAATCTATTCATGTTAACTCTGGCTTCATAAAACCCCACTTCATAAAATTTACCTCATATACAGATGAACAGAGTTCAGTTGAGGGGTGAAAAACGTGATATGAATTCATGACCTACAGCAATACTTTGTTGTAGGAAGGTATTATATTAATTCAATGAAAAATGTTAGTTTTGGTCACTAGACACTTGAAACTTGCAAAAAATAAGCATTTGAAACCTCAAAGAGCTATAATGCAATTAACTCATCTCTTTTCTGAACTATTGTGTTTGACGGTGACTGTGTTTTTTTTGTTGTTTTTTTTTTCTTTACGAGTTGTAAAAGGCCGTTTCTGGGGAAATGTTGCCGCATTAGCAAGATAAAAGCACAGAAGTCAAAGGACAATTCTTTAGCCTAATGATAGATCTATATCTAGCTAGATCTGCTGTCTCCCAGCAAATGTCTGTTTTATCACCCAGCTCGCGATTTTAATTACAGAGTTGTCCCACCCCGCTGGCGAGTATTACACAATAGCGTTTGATGCTGGAGAGTACCGTAAAGCTTCCCATTATATCCATTTTATTGGGGATATAACTCCTGGGCATAGCTCGGACAAACCTCTCCTCTTTGTCCCCTTTTACTTCTGCTGAAACAGAGACATAATTGTGCTCAAGGTGATGTTTTTGAAGATTTTAATGTTCCCAGCAGAGACAAAGAGTGACTAATGTGGCTGCCTGAAAGCTTTGTAAGTGAATGTAAATGGGCACTAGATTGATTGAAAGGCAGTTTTCATGTTCCAAGGCTATGATTCCATAAATTATGGTCTGATTAAAAAAATAAAAAAGATTATGAAATAAAGGACCCAGGAGCCTGGCCTGAATTCAAACACTTTAGTTTGGACTAAAAAGTCCTGAGGTTTCCCAGAAAAACTCAGACATTAATATGTTTATGAACAGATGGCATAAATTTGGTATTTAAATAAAAACTGTTATATGGTATTATACACTTGTATAACACAATTGTTTTAAATTTGTGTGAAAACCTGTGTGAAAGACACAAACAGTATACTAAAGTGTTCACCACACTATGAGGCTGACGTACCAAACTGTGTAAAGACAATACAAGTTCATTTACTTTTAGTTTTAAAGGGGCAGTGTTGTGTTTTCCAGGCACATATTCCCATTTAATAGCACAATCATCTAACAATGTTACTTTCAGCTGTTAGAAAAATCCATATCAAATATGATTTTAAAGAAATTTTACTTTGTAATTTAACACCTTGAAATTGGGCCTCTGTCTGTTTAAAAACTCCTGCTCTTTCTGAAACTCCGCCTTCAGTCATAAAACATAAAACTGAACTGATATGCGAGAGTCATAACATCACTCCGCCATTAACGCTTTAACAACATTTTTCCCAGCGCTGCTCCAGGACGCAGCTCGTACAATGAGCTCACCAGTTCTGCCAGGTGTTTGCTAATTGCTGCTGGCTAGTCTGAAGGAGCTGAGTGGGAGAGTCATGATGCTCTGTGAAGTGGAAGCTTGGAATCTGCAGCTCCAAAGAGGAGCTGCATCTTGAAGGCGGTGTCAGGGCCAAAGAGGCGTTTTCTATAGCTAAATGGTTGCTATGGGAGACTAAAGGATTTTTTTAAACATGCATGAAAGAATCAAGGCAACACTCCAGGTATGTTTTTGATAAGATGTCAAAAATAGTTCGAGAAGACTTTTAAAGAAACTCCCTGGAGCAGCTAGTGTAAAGTACTTAGTGCCTAAATGTACTTAAAGCTTAAAGTTTAATCCAGCAGTAACACTGGGGTTATGCTCAGGGACAAGCCGTTGCCAAAGGTCCCCAATGACACGTTTTATCTCCATATTCTATTAAAGCTTTTGCATGGAAGCACTCAGTGTTTATTATTAGATATAAACTGATTTTAATACACAGAGAGGGAAAGTTCTTATCTCTCAAGATGAAACTTGGGGGGGTTATGTGGTGGTGGAGGGGCAAAGCATAATCCATGTATTGAGGCCCTAGCTCTCATGCCGGTGGTCGCAGGCTCGATTTCCAGCCTGGCAACATTCGCTACATGTCTTCCCCCTCTTTCCTGTCAAACTACCTTCAAATAAAGGCCACTAGAGC